AAAGATGTGGGTGGCATGACTAGCTTTGGGCAGGAGGCAGAACATATTCTCAGTGGTAGAGTGAGTGTAGGCATGTAGATATACTTACGTAGTAAAATAGGGCTGTAAGAAATGTTCTTCCTGGAGGGGTATAAAGGAGAGAAAAAAATAGGACAACTGTAACAGCATAATTAATAAAATATATTTAAAAATTAAAAAAAAGAAAAAGTCTTCCTAAATTATTTGTGTTTTCTATGTTAAGAAGAAGATAAGATAGTCTGCTGCAGATAAGAGAGGTGGGGTTTGAAAGGGGAGTTGGAGAAAGAGTAAATGTCAATAGTAAGTAGAAGTTATTCGTAGTAATGAGAAGAGGTATAGACTAGAGGTATATAAAGGAATGTTAATTGGCTCCGAAGACTTGATCAGAGTTGAAAACCATATTTCTTCCTGGTGCCAGATTCCATGGCTGTATGATTTTCTTCATGGAACTTAGATGTGGAAGTGGAGTAGATCAATGGTTAGATGAACCAAGGCTATTCCATCCTTTTGAATTAGAAGAAAGATTGACAACGCCAAGGTAGACAGATTTTAACAAGAGAGTATTTGAAGGGATAGATCACGAGACTTAGTCCAGATAAGAGAGAAAGGGAAGAAAGAAAGACAGGCTCTCTGAGGTTGACTATAGAGATCAACAAAAGAAAGAGAGCAGGGAATCTGTAAAGAGAAAAGGCTGTGATTGGGATATGATATTTTTGATTTAAGAGATAGAATATTTTCCATTAAAATGAGACATTTAAAACAACCAAAAGAAATTTACATATTTTTTCATGAGGGGAACAGTAACCAGGAATTCCTCTTCTGTGGACTGGAGAACGCAAACTCACCCACTGTAGTGCACACACCAGAACTATAGGTCTGTATAGTGAAGACAACACGTTTCTCCCAGGCTATCACTTCTACAGAGAAGAGTTAGGGTTAGAAAGACTGAGTTCCTCAAGGGGTGATGGAGGTGGTATAAAGGTCCTTCATCCCAAATCTACTGCAGCTAATCTTAAACTCGTTTTCTACTTTCAAACTAAAGTGATTAAGTGGAATGGTTGTTTTATCATCTTCTCTTTCATTATCATGCTGTGATATAGCTTAGTACATTGTGTAGTAAGCATCGTAATCTCTGTCCCATCAGGTTGTGATTTTATCTTTGGTGTGAACTGCATCTTATTTTAATTTTGGTAACCAAGTGCTAAGCATTGTCAACAATGTTTGTTTCATCATGAAATAAATCATTCTCAGAGAGAATCAGAAAGATGTCATGAACTCAGTATGATTAGAACAACTGACTGTTCTTTTTTTTTATCACCATTTTCCACATTTGACTCACTCCCAAATGACAAGCATGGCACATGGTAGGTACATAATAAATATTTGTCATCAATTGATTATAAAATGGTATCCTTCCTTCGTTGTGGAATTTGGGGCATTGCTTTGTAAACGTGCATTTGTAGAACTATATTTACACAGATTTGCTTACCTTTACTAGTTCTGACCAATTTTTTTTCTTGAAAATATACCTTTGAAATACTGTTTATGCACCCTGTTGAAGGTATTTCTCACAAAATTCTGTTGATGATAGAATGATTTCAATAGTAGTGGATTATCTCTGTATATTGTGTGGATCCTATTAGAGACCTAGTATGCTTTCAGACAAATAGATGTGCACTGAGAACTCTTCTGAAAATGTTGTACCCATTGCTTTCCAGCCCAAGTCTACCTAACAAAAGTGGAGGGCTGAGCCCTCAGCTCATTTTTATCTTTTTTTTTTCTTGAATGGTTCTCTATCAGACAAAAATCACTGAATCACTCAGTGATTCACTCAGGCAGCTCTGCTGAGGTTTGGGTAAATCAACAAGTCTGGGGAATCATTTGTCTGACATAGGATGGAAAAAATTTTCCACTTAAAAAAGGTGAAAAAGCTGTTTTAATTAGAGGAACATTTGTGTACTGGAAACTTGAATGACTAGTCTCTTTCAGGCACACAGCAAATGTCAGAACTTTTTGGAATGCTTGGCTGGAACCAGTGCCATAGTCCTCAAGTCTCTGCTCCATTCTCATTTTTAAGGAGGACTAATATTCTCATCTTTGAACAAAGGACCATCCTTTCCTTCCTTCCTTCCTTCCTTCCTCCTTCCTTCCTTCCTTCCTTCCTTCCTTCCTTCCTTCCTTCCTTCCTTCTCTTCTTCCTTCCTTCCCTCCTTCCTTCCTTCCTTCCTTCCTTCCTTCCTTCCTTCCTTCCTTCCTTCCTTCCTTCCTTCCTTCCTTCCTTCCTTCCTTCCTTCCTTCCTTCCTTCCTTCCTTCCTTCCTTCCTTCCTCCTTCCTTCCTTCCTTCCTTCCTTCCTTCCTTCCTTCCTTCCTTCCTTCCTTCCTTCCTTCCTTCCTTCCTTCCTTCCCTTCCCTTCTTCCTTCCTTCCTTCCTTCCTTCCTTCCTTCCTTCCTTCCTTCCTTCCTTCCTTCCTTCCTTCCTTCCTTCTCCCCCTCTTCCCCACCCTCCTCTTACTCTTTACCTCCCTCTTTCTCTTCCTTTCTTCTCTTCTTCCTTCCTTTTAGTTTCACTTGAATTTTAACTCAACATTTGTATACACTACAAGTGATCACCCCCAAAGGTATAGTTACTGTCTATCATCATACAATTGACTGCCTTTACACCTTTATTTTAATGCTTTGTGAGAACTCATTATCTATCATCTATCTATTTATAATCTATCTGTCATCATCTATCATCCACAGAAGTTTGCGGTATTTGGTCCCTATATGTCCCTTATAAATGGTCATAAAATTCCACTTAACACATAAAGGGACCATGAGGATATAAACATCAATTAAATTGTGAACCCAAGTGGAAGTATTCCTATATTAAATGGCCATCACAATAGCTACATTCTAATGACATCAACTTAAATATTTATTTTACCTACAGATTTAAAATCTTAGTAAGGGAAGAGGCTCAGGCTTAGTGATGAGACAATGCCTTGTATAACACATCCAGACAAATTGTTTCTTTGAAATGTGGGTCAACACATCATTGTTGGTTTAAAAAAAATCTCATCAAAGGCAGTTTAGATCACTTTAAACTTGTAGTAGTACAGAGAAGGAATAGTCTCTAGGAAAAGAAATATAATCCTAGAGTACTTAATCAGTTGTTTTCACCATTGATTCAAGAATCAATATTTACATGGTGGGATATATTTTTATAAAATGTCACAAAGTAAAATATGTAAATTTAAATGTCCTCAATTTCTAAAGCAACTGAATGCTTCCTTTTTTCAAAGTTAAAAGCTTTCCAAGAAAGATTAAAATAAGTATGCTGTCCCAACCAGATGTTGCTGTAATCCTTCTGAAATACTAGTTAGTAACTTTTTTTTCATTCCTGATTGCTTGTCTTCTTGACAAGACTTTTCCAAATCCTTCTTGGAGTGAAAATAGGGAAAGGGGAGGGGCACAAAACCTGTTATTTCCTACTATTCATTTAGACAGTTTGCTTTTTCTTTTTCAGGTTTGATTCATACACATTTTCCTAATGTGTCAGAAAAGTTGGATTCACCTCATTGCTCTGGTTTTACCTCTGAGTGAATTATTTCTGAATCAATTTTCCTCATGTGTACTCCTGGATTCTTATTTGAGTCAAAAGCAACCTTTGAATTCACTTTGGATGTTGCTGACCGTAAGTTTCTAATAATCCACCTCTTCTTTCACCCTTCTCTTTTTTCTACACCCAAGACATCTATTGATGGGATCCAAGAAGCAGTGTTTTTCTGTCCTTTCTTCTTCCATGTAGTGTCTGTATACAGAGTTTTTAAAGTAAGCTGCTGAATTAAAGAAGCTTGTCATCTGTCTACCTAGTTGTTAGGTGAAGTAGAGAATGATGAAGGAAGCTATTTGCTCAATTTGTTAGAGCAGGAAGTGAATTAAGCAAAATATTTCATCCACATAATAGCACTGTTATTAAGCATACCCTTATTTTTTCTTATACCATAGGTGAGGAAACTGGGGTGTACAGAGGTTAAACACCGTTCCTCAGATCACAGTTAGGAATGAGCAGAGTAGAGACTTGACCTCGGGTCTGTGCCATTTTGAGGACCATTTTGTACCCTTAAGTACCATACTACAACAACCCAACCAGCTGTTTAGAAACATTTGCAATAGATAATACAAATAACTTTCCTATGGGAACAACTTAAATCTCAGCTTGTATGTATGTTGGGTCTGTAGTGATGCCTTATTGAGTAGTGTACAATGACACTTGAAATGCTTCTGTTATGTCCAGAGAGAAAAGTATTAGGTCCTTTCTGGGGGTGGAGGGTAAGTGCTGGAAAACCACTTCCAATTAAAAAGACCCACAAGACTGATTTATGTCATGGAAGTTTAGATTATTTCTCTAAAGAGAAATACATGTCTATAGGATTACAAATATTGATCATTTGGAGAGAATTTTCCTTTTAGCTAGGTAGACTCTCTTTTTTTTTTTTAAGATTTTATTTATTTATCTTTAGAGGGGAAGGGAAGGAGAGAGGGAGAGAAATATCAATGCATGGTTGCCTCTCATGCATTCCCTGCTGGGAACTGGCCTGCAACCCAGGCATGTGCCCTGACTAGGAACTGAACTGCGATCCTCTGGTTCACAGGCCCGCGCTCAATCCACTGAGCTATACCAGCCAGGGCGTTAGGTAGACTCTCTTAAGAGATCCATTAATGTACTAGAAAATTTCTATAATCAGGAAAAAATATTCATAATAGACTTTAAAAAAATTACTATAGCTGAGCTATCGTTATAGGCTGAATTATGTCTCCCCAAAATGCCTATGTTACAGCCCCAACCCTCAGCATCTTACAATGTGACTGTTTTTGGAGATAAGAGCTTTAAGGAGGTGATTAAAGTAAAATAAGGTCATGGGGTGGGCACTAATCCAACATGACTGATGTTCTTATAAGAAGAGGCGATTAGAGCGCAGACCTGTGCTCACACAGAGGAAAGACCATGTGAGGACACAGAGAGAAGGTGGCCATGTGTAAGCAAACCAAGGAGAGGCCTCGGAAGAGACCAGACCAATGCACACCCTGGTGTTGGACTTCCAGCCTCCAGAACTGTGAGAAAATGAATTTCTGTTGCTTAAACCATGAAGTCTTTTATGACAGACCTGGCAAGCTAGTATAACAATTAAAATTTTTTATTGCAGAATTATTTTCATTTCACTAAATAATATTAGTTATTAAAAGTCAGAGTTTATCCTCTCTAAATAGTCCTGAATATATTCGGAATGATTTTTAACCTATTTCCTAGACTCTGTATTTATCTTGCTTTTACATTATTTCCTCTAATAAATTATATTGTTTTTATTACCTTTATTAGATCTAGTAAAATTCTATAGCAGCACTCAACAATTAAAATACAATGTGAATCATTAAAGTTCACATTATTTAAGTTTCTAGTAGCCATATTAAAAAATGAAAAAAGCAGATGGATTTAATTTTAATAGTATATGAATACATATTAATATATATTATGTCTTATATATAAATATTATATATGATAGATCCAAAATAGAATAATTTCATCATGTAGTTAATATGAAATTATTAATGAGAAATTTTCCATATTAAGCCTTCGAACTTCGATGCTCATTTACCATTAGAGCCGATCTTACTTTGGACCAGTGTGGCTGGTGGATGGGACAGACTTGTAGAGAACTTAACAGACATCTCCTTCCACTAGTACTGTATATGCATGCTTTTAAGAGGCATGTCTGCAGAGGGCTGAGGTCCCCTGTAGTATGTTGGTTATTTGAAGTTTCAGTTGAGGCCGTGATATGCCCTTACCTGAGAGCATAAAGTTTATCAGTTCGGTGTCATTCTATGCAGAGTCTTGATGGACACAGAAGAAGTCACAGCTAGAGTTCCAATCAGGGAGTACTTTTCTACTAGGGCTTACCAGAAACATTCCATTTTCTTCAACAGATATGTGAGAAATTTTTTGCTACATGCAAGACACGAAGAGGGAAAACATGTTGTAAGATCATTTATTTTCAAACTGAATCTTTTTGAATATTGACAATCTCTGAAAAGAAAAGATGCTTCCCTTTGTGTTAGTCTGTTACCGTGCACTGACATCTGTCATCTCATTTGCCCTTTCCTAGTTTTGTGAGCTTTACACAAGTGAAAAAACTGCAGCTCACAGGTTTTGAGCAAATTTCCCAAGACCACATTGTTCACAATTGGTGAAGTCTCTCCTCCATATTTGTTAGATTTTAAAGGACTTGTGCTATGGTTAAATCTTATTCCAGTGCATTCTTTATATCTGAGACATTTCAAAGCAACATGAAGTATGTATGAATTTTGCAGAAACTGTTAAGCCTAGTTCTCAAGAGTATGTCTTTGGAGTAGGCTGGACTCAAATTCAAGTTTCAGCTCTTCCAGCTATTAGTTTTTCTTTTTTCTTCCTCCCTTTCTCCCTTCCTTTCTTCCTTTCCCTCCCTCCCTCCCTCCCTCCCTCCCTCCCTCCCTCCCTCCCTCCCTCCCTCCCTCCCTCCCTTCCTTCCTTTTTCCTTCCTTCGCAGAAGCATGTCTCCTCATTCAGAGAACAGGCATCATGGTGGTCTCTAGCTCTCAGGGCTGTATAAGGAATGAGTGATCTAAACTCAGGAAGGCACACTGTAAGAGGCTTATGCTAATGAGTCGCCAATGTTAGTAGCTTTTTCTTTTTTATCATAAGAAGCAACGAGCCTGGTGTATATTAACTGTTTTATAATTTTTGACTACTTAATAATCAGAATAGATTTTAATACATTAAATATGATTAAGCAGAGAAGCCTGAAATACTTTTCCATAATTAACTGCACAAATTGTATTCAAGAATGAGAACAGCTTTCAGAAGTAGATCTGACATCCACCAACAGCTAGAGGAGAGAACAGCGCTGATGTCTTTCCTACCTATGAACTAACAGTCTTATCCTTCAGAGGTGGTGACCTTGATTTCTCTCTGAAAGATACCTGAATTCTAGCCAATGCTGCTTTGGGATTTGACATACCTCCTCCCCCATTTAAAAGGAGATAAACAAATAAGGTTTTTCAAAGGTCACATCTAAACCATTCAAAGTTTTTTTTTCATGTTTTTTGCTATTGCTGAAGATTGTATTAAAGCAATTGCAACAAAACAACAAAAAAATATAAATGAACCAATGACAAGAACAAAAATAGAGAATGAAAGGGGGAAAAAGAGCCTCTGTTTAGGGTTCAAATCCTTCCACTCGTCAGTGAGTCTTAACCTTTTTGATAATTACATTATGGGCCGCAGCGAAGAAACAAAAGGGAATAAAGGTCTGAGGAGTTATATTGATGAACTACGTGTGGTGCTCCAAAATGGCATGGAATGTCTTGTTCAAGCTGTAAAAATATATTAGCATGTCATGTTATCTTCATAAATTCTTCTCACACGTAGGGTGGGTGGAGTTTCCAAATCCCAAGGCGCATTACCGATTCGGCTGGTCACTGCAATTCATCAATTGTTTTGTCACATAGTTGCAGGCTCACAGTTGGGACCGAGGTATTATGATTCTAGAGGGTTTGATAATAGGTGAGTTATTAGCTGTTGGGGACAGATTTGTTTCTGAGCCTTTCTGTGGCAGCCTCTTATATAGGCAGGCAATCATTCTCATGGAATTGCTCCCTCAGACTTACAGAGATTTTGAATATAGCTTGTAATTTTTTTCCTAGTAAAATTTCATTAGTGGTTAATTATGAAAGGTAGAGCTTTCCGGAAGTTCACCAAGTGTACTGAGAGTTCAAACAGGCCAAAGTTTAAACAGTCTCACCATGGGACAACCCTCTGTAATCTCTGTCACCATGTTCACACACACTGTGTACAGTTCCTCTATGTGATATTGCATGTTAAGCTTGTGCATTTAACCTTTTAGGAAAATAAAAAGCTTAAAAAATTTATTTTTCTTTAGGTGGAGCAGTTTTATTCTTTGGTTTTTGAGTATTTGCCTTGTACGTACGATTTGGGGGAAGAAATAATTCATTCCAAGGAATATTTAAATAGCATCAAACTTCGATAAGGATGTAAGAAGTTAAATGCTTTCTGTGAGTGTTGCAAATCAGACCGAATGAACCCAAAGCATGCTTAATCCGAGTCATTCCTATCTAGAAGCTTCTCAAGGAAGCCAGATCATATCTATGGCACATTAAGCAGAGTCAATTTCTGTTCCAAAGATGCACATTTGTGGAGACAGGAGATAAAACACAAAATAATGTAATAAATTTTTCAGTAAATTCTTCTCAAAGTTTCAACTTTCTATCACAGTACGGTAACTTCATATTAACATAGGCACTTTGGTCCACATATTGTCATCAACTCCAAAATTAATTTGCTTATTAAAATATTATTAATTACTTATATTGTTTATCAGTGAGGGTGGGAAGATATGCAAATAAGAAAAGTTTTCCAAAAAGTCAATACAAAATATAGTTACATTGAAATAATTAGATAATTAAACATCTAATTTAATTATTAAACACATAAATAAATCAGATCATTAAACACATAATTTAAGTTGTGCTGAATTTAAAGTTTTTGTTCTGGCTACAACACTTGGAGACCTGTGTACTCTTTTTCTTTCTGTTTTTCTGATGACTAGGTTTATAATTTCCTAACTGGAGAATATAGAACAAGAAATGACTGAAAGCTTAAAGGTGGAAAAATGGTCACCTTGGTGACTCAACTCCCAAGTGACAGTTGCATATACACCATAAATTTTAGAAACTGGGGTAGATTTAAAATATTACTAAAGAGTTTCGTACTTTTGCTGTGTTGGGATGAAATCATTTTTGGGGTGAGAGACACTTCTGTCTCATCAATGAATTTCGTGGCTGAATTATCTGGGATGAGCTTCATAGCCTGGAAAAAGTTTGATTATATGCTCTAATAGGCTCCTAATGGGAATGGGGTGTGAGTCCCTGACACTGTACATCCACCCAGCAGTTATGTAGATTGTTTCTGATAAGTTGCCGTGAGCCCTTTTGTCAGCCCTGAATGTCTCATGCCATTCATTTTAGAGAGCCCTTGACCTGGAGCAGACTCAGTTCTACATGTTCTAATGTAAAGTGCATTATGGGGATACAGAAGAAATCTAAGCCATAGACTCAATGTTCTAAAAATGTACAGTCTACTTTGGGAAAGCAGCACTCCCTTACAGGAGTAGAGAGAGGGAGAGGACCAAGTGGTCCTGAGGTGCCATGGAATGACTTCACTTAGGTGGCGGTGAGCAGGGAGGACGGTAACCCAGGCTCATGTTGGGAGCTGGTGAGGTGTGCAGATCGAGATACATCTGGCGTGAGGATCTGGCCCTTCTCCCTCTTATTTATTTGTTTAACTCAGTCACTCACTCAACACATGTTTATTGGGCATCCACCACGGGCCACCTGGCTCTCTAAGAAACACAGTGCTGAGCATAAAGAACATAGTTACTGCCCTTGTGAAGTTTAAGGTCTAGTGACAGCAGACATTAAACATGGAGACCCAAAAATGAGTGTAAGAACAAACTGCGGTAAGCTATAGTAAAGAAAAGTGAGGTGCAGTGAGAAAAATTATGGGTGGGAGAATGCAGGCCTGGAGAAGGAATGTTTAAGCTGAGAGTCGAAGGACAAGCTTATTAAAATACAAAGCCATACATAAGATATGCTAAAATCGTGTGGAATTCTCTACCAAATTGCTCTTTTATGTCTGTTAAGTGTCTGTTAAGTAAAGTAAAGAAATATTTAGGTAATGCTCGTTTAATTCAGCAAGTGTATCAGTCAGGGGCCCAACAAGAATCAGATGTCACCTGCAAAATAAATAACTTGGGCTTAATGAGTTTTATAAAGCTGCGGTGATGAGGTAGAGAAATGACCAAGGATGGAGAAGACCTCCTTGGGCTGTCACAATCTATAGACCCAAAGGGACAAGGTGGAGGTGTGGCTGCCAAAATCTTCAAAGAGGAAATAGGAGAGAGGGATTCAGTGCTACCTTGGGAAAAGAAGTGACCTCAGTTGAGGGACACAAGAGCCTGAGGTAGCCTTAAATTTGAGAGTCAGGGGGATATATTTCAGATCT